CCATTGCTTGAGGGACTCATTCAGATGACTAGGTGGGTGTAGGGTGTGCCTGAGGGTTTGCAGGATTGGGAGAATGAATGTGGGTTGTGGGTGTCTCTATGTTAAGAGTAATACCAACACCCTGGACTCGCTAGGTGGTCGGTCTCGGTGATAGTGTGAGTGGCGGGATATTTTTCCTATTTACGCCGACACCCACACGCAAACTACCAATAAGAAATCATTATAATAATAATTCACATTGAATGCGTTATTATGTAAGATACTCTGTACAAAATAATTTAATTACATTATTACCATTACAAGTCATTTTCAATCAAACTTTATGAAAAACTACGTACACCACTTAGATACCATTAAAATCATACTTCTCACACCCGATCATTTCACAAAAATATTGTTCAGGTTAACTCTTTCTGTAAAGGTTTATACAAACTTCTATTACCATTAGTTGTGTTTCTGGTATTGATCTTTATGCATAATATCATTTCGACTACAGCTACTAGAGGCTCACTCAAATCACCGTTTGTTCAAGAAACTCAATGCTATTCATATGATCATTTCTATTCTCGATATGCTCATTTGTAACATAACTGTAGCCATATAAAGCATCACTATGATAGCTACTACCATGCTCCTCTGTACCATATGTTACAGATAGACAGACAGGTAAATTTCAGATGGTAGACCCTACACGTATCTTGTCAGTCAAGGGAACATGTATTTTGCATACATCTTTTGTTTTACTAAAAATGAAGACCTTGAGATTTTCAAGGGCCGAGAGTGTGTGGGCATGGGTGCGGATGAATACGAAGACCACGACACACACCAAAAAGCACACTCGACCACATGCTCGGGACTCATGAGCTGCTTTAGTCAGTTCATACATTTAGATTTCTGTTTTCTTTGTAGAAAAAATAAAGAGAAAAGAAAGTATTACGATCACTTCAGTATGTATTATAGTTATGGTAATCGAAGTTTCGCAGAAGCAAATAGTAAGTCCATGTAAAACCTGGCCACAATGTATTATTGTTTCCTTTGGCGTCTTGATACCAAGAATGGCATCCGCCGGTTTGCCAAACTGTTTTCTTTAGTTTTGATTGTAGTTCTTGGTTGTATCGATCATGAACATTTTGTTTAATTGAAAGCGATTTAATCCCATTCTTATTCATGAAAACAAGCGCTTCAACGATGTAGTTCAACTGAGCTTCGATCAGAAATACACCAGAATTGTGTCCAATGGCTGAATTAGGGCCTAATAAAATAAAAAAATTCGGAAAGTTGACGACTGTTACGCCACGATATGCCTAACACGAAATAAAATAAACTTGCAGATTCTTCTCTTACACATATTCAAAATACAAACCTGTATACTTTCTCGCCATTGTTCGTGAAGTGAACATCCATTAATTCCCATCATGGGCAATGGAATTTTTTGCACTTGAAATCCAGTAGCCCAAATGATTATGTCAACTGAATATTCAACATTGTCGGAAGTAACTATGGAGTGTTGTTTCACTTCTCGAATTTGATCGATCACAACTGTCACATTTTGTTTTTCTAATGTTGAATACCAATCATTCGATATGAGCACTCGCTTGCAGCCAAGTTCCCATGTTGGTGTGAGCTTCTTCCGAAATGCTTCATCTTTGACTTGTCGCTCAAGATTAAATTTTACCAACTCTTGAAAAATGTACCGAATGGGCCAACGATAGACAAATGAGAGTACGGCCGTTTCGGCTGCCCAATATATTACACCACGAATTAGTTTTTGAACGCTCGGAAAGCGTGCAAACAGTCTTTTTTCCCATTGTGTCGTTTGTCGGTCAATGCGAGGAATTATCCATGGTGGTGTACGCTGAAAAACGATCAGTTGAGATGTATTCATCTTGTAGATTTCTGGCACTATCTGTATAGCACTTGCACCCGTTCCTACGACAGCTACACGTTTTTTGTTGAAATCGATTTTGGCATTCCATTGAGCGGAATGACACATTTCCCCTTCAAAAGAATCAATACCAGGAATAGTCGTAGGAAATGATGCATTCGACAGACCACCACAGCCCGATACCAGCGTTCGACTGAAGAAATATTTCTCTTGACCGTTCGATTGTGCGGTTACTTGCCAAAGTTGTCGGTCATCCAGCCACTTACAATCAATAACAGTGGTCTCGAATTGAATATGTTGGCGAATATGATATTTATCTGCACAATATTCCAAGTATGCCTCAATCTCTGCTTGACGAGCGAAGAAATGGGACCAGTTTGGATTGGGTTCAAATGAAAATGAATACAATGTCGATGGAATGTCACATGAACAGCCTGGATATTGATTATCATACCATGTGCCACCGAGATGAGATCGTCTTTCCAAGAGTATATAGTTGTCCTGATCGAGCTCATTTAATTTCACAGCCATACCAACACCCGAAAAGCCAGCTCCAACGATGATTGTGTAGTATTCCCCATCGGTGTCCTCTTTGGAGTTGTTGAATCTGCATTTGGTTGATTTTTTATTTCGATCAAGTGACTCGAATAAGACCCAATTGAATAGTTGACCGGTGAAACCGAGGATCACAAAAGTACTGGTTACCACATAAGCACATATTGCTAGTATCAACAAATATAAATTGGACACCTTTCTGCTCATCTAAGAATCGTTCAAAATCATTGAATGTTACAGTTAATTACTCGGTGTAAAAAGAAAACGATGAAAAAACAGTAATTATTTCTTTTTATTCATTTTACATTGTGATATCCTCAAGTTTGACGTGTAGGAATTCTTTAGTTGTAATTACTATTTTTACTGAGAATATGACGAAAATGGTGGTCGTCTGTTAGACAATATGCAAAACTTACAAAACAATAACTGATGTACTAGGACTAATTTTTTTTTTCGAAGACATCTGTCTACATTTCAGTCACCATAGAATAGAGTTCTTTTTATTGTATTATTTAAAAAGGTCTCTTTTTTATCAGCTCGAGGCTTATCAGAAAAGATAAGTGTTTTCTATCCTTCGGTGACTAGGCGAAAACAGCGTCTAAGTAAAGAACAAAAATATTTTAAGAAAGGAAAAAAAATGAAATAACTGAATTCATTGTTGATTCTAATGAAAAGCTGATTAGTTAAAATACGGTAAAAAATGGCATACTTCAGAGACAAATATTCGAGTAGGGTTCAAACGTTCAAAATGGGACACGGTTGACAGTCTGGTGCAGATTTCAATTGTGCAGCTTGCTATGTCGGCAGGAGGTTGATATCAATTTCTTAGAACGATTGGATGAAGGCGCCTTAAAATGACGAACACAAGAGATTGCGTTCGAACAACACTGAGAAATGAAACAAAATCGAGCAGTTCTTCATATAGAATGGAGGTGAAATGAGTGAGATTGAGACAGAGTCCAAAGGATTTGCGGGAGAGGATGTGTGAGTGTCGATCTTAATCTCTTATTTATCTGTACGCACAGTCACCTTCGCATCTGCACCCGAATCCACCCACACCCCGCATCCCACACTCACATCCAATTCATTACTGTTTAGGATATCATATAAAATCAAATATTTAGCCTTACATATCCTGAGACTAAGAGTGTCATTTACCATTTAATTTAAAATAAATGTAAATTACTTATTACTTATATTTATTTTACATGTAAATTTCTTATTTTTCATGATTTATCGAATATAACTAAAAGTAAAGTCCAATATTTCTGTATGATACTTTACATAAGAAATATCCTAGTCTTTATATTAATTTTGTATATAATTTATTTGTTGTACTATCTTTTCATTCAATTAATTGTTCTTAATTTTGGGAAAAGATCTCTCTACTTATTGTGATGACTTTTTCAAAGAAAAGTCAAATCAGACATTACNTACTTTTGTGATCCTTGGTTTCACCGGTCAACTATTCAATTGGGTCTTATTCGAGTCATTTGATCGAAATAAAAAATCAATCAAATGCAGATTCAACAACTCAAAAGAGGACACCGATGGGGAATATTACACAATCATAGTTGTCCTGACCAAGCTCATTTAATTTCACAGCCATACCAACACCCGAAAAGCCAGCTCCAACTATGATTGTGTAATATTCCCCATCGGTGTCCTCTTTTGAGTTGTTGAATCTGCATTTGATTGATTTTTTATTTCGATCAAATGACTCGAATAAGACCCAATTGAATAGTTGACCGGTGAAACCAAGGATCACAAAAGTACTGGTTACCACATAAGCACATATTGCTAGTATCAACAAATATAAATTGGATGACACCTTTCTGCTCATCTAAGAATCGTTCAAAATCATTGAATGTTACAGTTAATTACTGGGTGTAAAAAGAAAACGATGAAAAAACAGTAATTATTTCTTTTTATTCATTTTACATTGTGATATCCTCAAGTTTGACGTGTAGAAATTCTTTAGTTGTAATTACTATTTTTACTGAAAATATGACGAAAATGGTGGTCGTCTGTTAGACAATATGCAAAACTTACAAAAAAATAACTGATATACTAGAACTAATTTTTCTTTCGAAGACATCTGTCTACATTTCAGTCACCATAGAATAGAGTTCTTTTTATTGTAATATTTAAAAAGGTCTCTTTTTTTATCAGCTTGAGGCTTATCAGAAAAGATAAGTGTTTTATATCCTTCGGTGACTTGGCGAAAACAGTGTCTAAGTAAAGAACAAAAATATTGTAAGAAAGGAAAAAAAAATGAAATAACTGAATTCATTGTTGATTCTAATGGAAAACTGATTATTTAAAATAAGATAAAAAATGGCATACTTCAGAGATACATATTCGAGTAGAGTTCAAAAGTTCAAAATGGGACACGGTTAGCAGTCTGGTGCAGATTTCAATTATGCAGCTTGCTATGTTAGCATGAGTTTGATATCAATTTCTTAGTACAATGGGGTGAGGGGCGCCTTAAAATGACGAACACAAGAGATTGCGTTCAAACAACACTGAGAAATGAAACAAAATCGAGCAGTTCTTAATATATAATGGAAGTAGAATGAGTGGGATTGAGACAGAGTCCAAAGGATTTGCGAGGGAGGGTGTGGATCTTAATCTCTTATTTATCTGTACGCACAATCACCTTCGCATCTGCACCGGAATTCATCCACATCCCGCATCTGACACTCACATCCAATTCATTACTGTTTCGAATATCATATAAAATCAAATATTTAGCCTTATATATCCTGAGACTATGAGTGTCATTTACCATTTAATTTAAAATAAATGTAAATTTCTTATTTTTCATGATTTATCGAATATAACTAAAAGTAAAGTCCAATATTTTTGTATGATACTTTACATAAGAAATATCCTAGTCTTTATATTATTTTTGTATATAATTTATTTGTTGTACTATCTTTTCATTCAATTAATTGTTCTTAATTTTGGGAAAAGATCTCTCTACTTATTGTGATGACTTTTTCAAAGAAAAGTCAAATCAGACATTACGAACTAGGGAAATAGAAAACTCCATGGTGCCCATGAAAAGTTTAAAACATTTTTTGTCACTTACACACATTAGAAATCAGAAATTATTTTTGATCAAATGTAGTTAGAGCTTGTAGATACAAAATTAGGTTTCTTCTACATGGCAAATTTATATTCCAATCTTATTAAGTGACGAATTAATGCTAATTTTCGAACATTTCTCATACATAATATATATTCATTAGGTTTTCCCAAATAGTTTTTTTAATGTGTATGAGAAATATTTTAAGACATACCATGTTTAATCTTGAGTATGGGTGTGGGTGTACATATTCTTATCCGATTCACACCTACATCCACACCCTACCCTCCATTTGAAACTAAAGAAGCAGCATTTATATATCATAAAAATCGATTGACAATTGTTTGTTAAAGATAATTTATTCTTTGATTATCTCGATTTTTTTCCAATATCATTTATATTTTAATATGTGAGAATATATTTGCACCGAACAAATAGAATATAAGAGTTAAATTCGTAATGTTTCTAACAACCTTTCCTAAATCTCTACATGATTTAGAATGCTTTTGAATTCATCTATTTAACATGAATTTTGAATAATGTTAATTATATTTGAAAACTTAAAGTTCGTCTTGGTGACAATGAAGTAACTAATAAAAAACAAAGTAATTATTGAGAATTTCATCGTTAATGATAATTTTGTCAGTCAATATTGTATGTGTAACATAGAAATT